TGTCTCGGGGGGCAGGGGCAGGGGCAGGGGCAGGGGCAGGGAGCTGCCTGCTTCGGTGAAACGCCCGCCGTCCTGGCTGCGCCCCCATGCCCTGCGTGGTATCAGTAGGTACCGGTAGGGGCACTACGAAAAAGTACGAGGCCCAAACGACACCAGGGTCTTATGGAAAATTTGACTTGTGGTCAGAGGGGTGCGACAGGGTAAATCGGCCATCCGAGGGGTGCAACACAAAAGGAAAATACAGGGGCGCCAGACCAATTTTTCCAAAAACAAAAGGAGTATCTTTATTATATAATTACGTTCCCTTTTTCTATCATTGTATTACGGCCGTCCAATTGGCAGTTTCTCGATTTATGCGTGTCATCCTTGCGCAGGGGCCAGCTGGCAGTTCTACCTCGGGCCGCCTGGAGCGAAGTCCCCACTGGCAAAGAGGACTGGATGAAGAGCCCGAATCTGGATGGGTTTTGCGCACATGTGCAGAAATTCGGATCACTCGCGCTCGCGCTTGCGCTTTTCTGCACATGTCAACAAACACGTCCAGTCCTCTTTGCTACCAGGGCCAAGGTCCCACTTGCACAAATTAGGAGATTTCGGCCGTTGATCTTTGCTATCTACGGTTAGCATCTCTTAATTCGTGCAAGTGGGACCTAGCCCCAGTAGTGAGACCTCGCCCCTGGCTGGCTTCCCGCTGTGTGTTCCCTTAGGTAGGGTAGGGCTTACATGGGCTGGCACGTCCATCCAATGGCCATTAATTGCCACGTGGCTAAATTATGGTACACGATGGCAACGGTTGCTAGACAAGAAAAAATATTTTTCTTTTTTTTTTCAAAAAAAAAAAAAGGCTGTGCCCCGATGAGGCTAAATTGTTCAAAAATAACCGACCAAGAGTTCGAAACAAGGGTAAACAATTTACCCCCTTATAGTTCAGAAGAGTTTGGCGATAACAAGGGTAAACAATTTACCCCCTTATAAGAGCAAAATGGGTGGCCGGGGTTCGTTATTTATCGGTGGTTGGTGGCTGGCATTCCCTTTTTTTTTTTTTTTTTTTTTTTTTTTTGAAACCCCTTTTGCCCTTTCTCTCGGCATGTGGGCGTAGTTGCACTGCTCGCCATCCACCAACAATTTTGAGTGAACCTGGACATCATCAAACTTGTCCGTGCATTGAAAGCAGGTATCGCACCTGCTGCTAGCTCGCGCATGCTCCCTCGTTGGAAGCTTGAGCACGGATGTGGCTGCTACGGGGTTCCCCGTAATACTACAATGGCAGTAAAAAAGGCCTGAAAGGCCGTCCTGTCCAGATTCGACAGGTAAAAAAAAAGGAAAAAGAAAAAAAAGGTTGGCGGATGGGCGAGTAGTGTAACTACCGCCGGCGGGGCCGTGACCCACAAGCGGGGGTTTAATTTATGTCTCGTGGATTGTCCAACGTGGTCACACTAAAGTAGGTCCGTGAGATTTTCAGATCGAATGGATGGCAAGGAGCCATGTACACTCGAAACCAGGGGCGAGGTCCCACTTGCAAACAGGATTGGATTAACCGCCTGAATCTGGACGTGTTTTATGTGGAGATACAGAACAGCAGATCTATCATGAGATTGTGCACTTTCCCCAAACGCGTCCACATAGGATTGCTAGTGGAACAAAACCTCGAGAAGTGTGGGACATGGCCCCCGGGGTCAAGTCCCACCATACAGCGTTAAGCTACCTGAATGCCTGAATCTGGACGCTTTTGCAGAGATGTGCAGAAATGGCGTTGAGTTTCCTGAACTGCACGTCTCCACAAACACGTCCAGATTCAGGCGTTGAGGTAGATCAACGCTGCCAGTGGGACTTGGCCCCCGCGGTAGGCCCTGTTTGTTTTGGAAAGAGAGGGCCCCATTGGGCAAAAATAAAAGAAAATTGACCCCACCAGCAGTGGATTTGCCACCTTGACCTTTTTTTTTTTTTTTTTTTCTGAGGCCGCGCGCGTTTTTCCTCTTGGGTGAATTGCCAGCTCGACTCATCTTTCGTGTGCCCAGCTGGACTGATGCCTCTTTTTTTTTTTTTTTTTTTTTTTTTTTTT